TGGCCGGCAAGGGGCGTCGAGGGGCACAAAATTCGGGACGCGCTGACCTTCGCATCTGCTCCGCTCGCAAAAATCGCTTCTTCGCTTTGTTCTAAATTTTGCACAACAAACAATCCGACGGAACGCGACACTCGGCAAGGTCTCGAAAACCGTTAGCGACACGGCACGCGATAAACATTCTTTCCAATAATCGACACGGGATTCTTGAGACGGGCGCCTCCACGGCTGCCACGTCACAACACATATAAGCGAAGGGCCGCAAAATATGATGTACTAGTTTTTTTTATTATTTTAACAAAATAATCAAGCATTAAGTTATATGGGAGTGCATGTGACTGTATTTATGTATGCCCGTATGTTAATAAGATTTTATATATTTGGTACCATTAGTAAGTACCACTGACCAGTGGTAAAATTGCTCAGTGTTAAAATATTACTATTGGCAAAAACTTATTCAATTTGCCATTGAAAATACTATTGAAAAAGCAATTCACTTTCAATGATTTTTTTTAATGGTAAAACCATTTATTTTTCGCAATGGGGTGGTAGCGTCTCGCGCCAATTGAACGTTCGAAGCGAAGAACGACATAAAAACGGCCGCGTATACTTACGTCAACTTAGTTCAGCACAGGTAAGATTTCTCGTTCGGCTGTAACGGCTAATCAGACGAATTTCTGAATAGACTCAATCGATTCCTTGGAGTCGATTTACTGCAGTAAATCTATCTTTATAGTTGTCCTACATGGTTCATGAGAGGATAATTATATATATATATATATATATATATATATATATATATATATATATTATTTATTATATATTTTAGTAAAAAGTCCGAAATGGCAAAATTTTACAATTAAGAAACGTTCTATAAATGTTCATCTTAGCCTTTCTTCGTCAGAAGCGCCACTCAGCAGCGCAGTCAACAAGGCATGGACTACGTGGTTGGGTCATGTACAATCAGTGCCACCTTACGAAAAAAACACAAAATTTTTGGTATAAAAATATCCTCGAAAGAACCCTCAAATATTTAGTGTAAATTCGGATCGTCAATTGACGGTCGACACCGAAATGAGGGTTAACCTTAAGTAAAATCCTCAAATAAATATAACTCCCAAATAGAAAAATATATCTTGCAGAAAAGATTGCAACTAGTCAGCTTATGTTGATTTTAAATGAAACTTAGCTCTTTTATTTGATTTCTCACTACTTTCGCACATGAAAATTTACTCAGTACTGGGCGGACGCGAACTCAAGACCTCAGACACCTCCAGGTTCCTAATTCACCACCTACTGTGCTATTTCTTCAATTGATACTAACAAGGGGAACATCAGGTGATTGCTCCGGGGATTTTGATGCGCTTTTTACAGGCTGTTCTTGGGCGAAAAAAGACGACACATGTTCGGCTGTTTCAGCCAATGGGCCATAGTTTTGGAAAAATTGATTTTTAAAAAATGACTCTAGTCGGCCGCGGCATACTTGATATGTTCGACCGTCACTATTGAACAGCAGCAGTGGTAGCGCAGTAGATAAGACATTGGCTTCGTACACAGTAGGTTCAAATCTCGTCTCGTACATTTTTTTTATTAAAAATTTGTTTTTATCTATAATTATTTATATTATTGTAGATGTACACAAAAAAGATTATTTATTTAATTATATTGGTATATTTTTTTATAAATAAAATTTTAAAATTTTAAAATAATTATTGTAATAATTTTAAAATTTGTATAAAGAAATATTATTATCTCTATAAATTTCATTTTAATTTAATGTTATTAATTTTTATTACTTTTTGATTATAATGAAATTTTATAAATTAGTAAATGATTAAATATTCATGTATATAGAATAATTATTATTACTGTCGTCGTCTCTCTCTCTCTCGTCGTCGTTGTTGTTATTCATATGGTTATAAATGAAAATGAAAATGTAACGAGCGACATGACGAAAAATTTTCTAATAATTTTCCCAAATAATACAGAATTGTTAAAGAGTGACATTGAGGCACATAGAAGCACATAGAGGCACCACAAAAGGAGGAGAGCGTACTAGGTGGCGGCGGGACGCCATGCGTTCGAGATCTGCGTATCTTTTTCGTTCCAGAGAGAGAAAACTATCGAGAACGTAATTTTGCTAGGCTAGGACTCGAACCCGGGTCTTTTCTCAAATAATACAGAATCGTTAAAGAGTGACATTGATGTACAAGCTTCACAACCTTTGTTTATCATTGCGTGATTGATAAGAAAAAAAAGAAAAATAATTATTATTACCTTCGTTGTGTGTCGTCGTCGTTGTAATCT